AAATTGAGATGAAGTCTATTTGGTTCTTGGTATTTCCATCTGGTGAAATCCATGTCATCTTGCGTTTATCCTTGTGTTTCAACACACTACCGCCAATCACCAAATCATTGAAGGCGCAGAAGTCTGAGAAGAGTTCACCATTGTCGTTCATTTCACCGAGGGCCTCACGACCCATGGCGAGTTCTCTTCCTGTGTTGTCTCGTCCGAGCTTCGCATTCATGTCGCCCATCAGGATTTTGATATCGCCATTTGGGACGTTGTCCATTATTGCTTGTAGTTGTCTGTAGAACGCCTCCTTCTTCTCTTGTTCTGAGACGTTTGTAGGCGCATAACATTGAATGACTGTAACTTTCCTTCCTTTTGAGTTGAACCTGGCTGTCATTATCCTGGAGGAGGTTGGTTCCCACTGCATGAGAGCTTTGGCTTCTGTTGGTGACATCATGATGGCCGCTCCCTCGGTGTTCTCGTGGTTGTCCTTTGGGTGGCCGGAATAGATTATTGTCTCTCCAGTTGTTAGTTGGCACCTTTCAGTTCCGTTCCATCTGCTTTCGCAGATTCCCAACACTTCTGTTTCATACCTTCTCATTTCAGTGGCTATCTGGGCAGCCTTTCCAGTTTCGCACATTGTGCGAACATTCCAGGTACCCATCCTTACTTTTGCTTTCATCGAAAGAAGGCACATCGGCTGACTGGCTTCCCGAATGCTTTCGCCAGCCTGCGTCATTTCACTTCCCCGATTCCAGCGAAAAGTAAGGCTATTGCTTATGTTTTTAGAATTTTTAATATATTTATTCGTTGAAGTTTCTGTAGCGATTTGGTTGTTTTACAGGGGTGGAGTTGCTAGCACCACGCCCCAACCCTCCCTCTTTACCCGGGCTTGGGACCGGCGAGAAAACTAGTAAGCTAGTAGCCTAGCAAGCTAGTATCTGGCGAGGTTGTCAATCATCTAGCAAAATCCTAAATCCTACAGTCTCAAAGAGGTATACTCCAGGATAGTTAATGATCCTGATGTTCATCAGTAGCCGTCATGCACCATGAAGTATTCAACTTTTCGCATCAGTAAAGCAACGATTCAGAGGGCGATAAAAATTTCTGGAAGACTCGAATATGCTGCAGGTGGATTTGGGTGCTTTAGGAAGCTCGTAACACGCCTACGGATTACCCCTAAACTTAATAACAGTCCAGTTGTTCACATAAGTATCTCAGCACTACAGAAAGTGACTAATAATTTCCGTGGCAAGCCCCAAACCTATGACGAAACTAGTACCAGACAATTGGGATAACTAGTCATTGCCTACAGTAATATCAGTGAAGAAATTGGCAGGACATTCTACTAAAAATAATAATATATTCTCATTTTGTACATTAGGGACGCCAGTTTACGGGCATTTTCAATATCATAAATTGTGTATACGATTAGTAAGCATATTTCATAATAAGAATTTAATAAAATACATATTTTTTACAGGCCTAGACAAGTATTATCTAAGCTACATAAATTTGGACTCTGCCATCAGGCTATCAGGGACTTTTTCAATGCAACTAATGGACGGTCGTCGACAAATCGTATCCACGCCACTTTTAGCTTCCATTTGCGGCCTGCGCAACTCTTCGGCAGTTGTTGCCACAATAATGAGGTGATTCGACCGGCAGCTGAATGCCCATGAGGAAGTGAAGGAATAGCGTCTGACCGATTCTCAACCCAACCAGTTCCAATAGTAACCCACAAATTAGGCACTATAACAATGAATTTCCAGGTAAGCCTTTTGAGGTCCTTTAAACTCACTCAGCTTTTCTTGTTCTTCTATTCTCGTTATTCTGTTTCTTCAAGTATTCAATCATTTTTCGACACATCCTTTGGTGCGATTCTCTTTTGCACAATCTTGTTTACGCCAACACTACTACTGTTGCTGTCACTATAATTATTACCGCATGTAGCTCTTACACGTCAAATGGCTGAAAGGCAAAGTAAGAAACTTAAATGTCGGAGGTTCAAAGTCTTGAAAAGCGGCAAATTACTCTTAAGATACGCCAAAACCACCACACAGCCTTAAGTATGGAAAAGCTAATTCTGATAAGGGACATCAGCATCGGTCCAGAAACCCACCGGTGATCGGAAAATAACCAGTCATCACCAAGAAGAGAAATCAGAGAAATTAATTCCAGCCCGTAAAAAGAGTGTTGGATCTAGAAAGTTCTATTCTTATCCCAAAGACAGATTTATGGAAGAGGCGGATATGTGGGCAGCTCGAAAACACTGGAAGCTTTATTGTAAGAGTTTTCGGGTTTATTGTCGTTGGGCAGTGTGCTTTTGCAAAACTACACCGTCTGGTTCGTAAATTCATATTGTTGTGTTATTATCACGAAGTTTCTATGGTGGTAATTGTCGGTCAGATGGTTTGTTTGTAGGGTGCATGAGGACAATATTGCCTACTGCTGTGACTCATGGATTCAAGGGACTTCTACACAATCAAAGTAAGCCACTGGGAAAACACGTGAAGTAATAAAGCTGCGTAAATGTCAGAGTTTTGATATTGGCTCTTTTGGTGCGACTATTTAGTGTCGGCTTGCTATTTCAGATGGGATCCTGACTATATCAAGACAACAAATTAACTTCGTTAACCATTGGCTTTTGATTTCATAGTGTTAACACTGACCTCCAGATATATTCTCTTTCCAATCACCACTTCATATAAATTTTATCTCCGGAGTCTAGAGCCTGACATCTGTTTATTTTTAGATCTTCGAACGATTCACTGGCGCTGAACATTATGCAGCACTTGCATATGCTCACAACTACCACCTAGCGTTTTCCTATAAAATAGACTATGTGATTATTGTGAATGTGAATTTCACAAATTATCATACAGGATTCGTTTGTTTCAAACAGCAGTCCCTCGTAACTATTTCTGCTACGAGATCCGTTCATGACCAGACTAAATTATGCCACTTACATTATACCACTAAGCACATCGAGCTGTAACTGCGAATGCACCCTAGACGTCAGATTTATCACTACAGTCTTCTCTGTGAGTCTCACAACGATACCTGTGAATTTCTGCCCTCTCTTCACTGTCCTTTGTAACGTTCGTTAAAAATCTACAAAGAACCTAAATGTTTAATCCGTGTAATTTATATCCACACAGAATTTTTTATGTTCAGCGAAAATGCTAATTTAGCTTGAAACGCATTAAAAAATCGACACTTACTCTACTGTAGGGCAAAGTTCGTCACCTCTGTTTGATATTTCAGTTATTAAAGCTCATGTAACTTTCACGTTTTTTTCTAATTCTGTAATAAGGTTTAGATGTCCGAAAGATTGGCAATCATTGACATTTTACGTGTATTCTGGCCTGTAAAATTCACATACTACCTTCGAAAAATCGTGATTATTAATAATACTATGTACGTCAAGAGGTAGTAGTTTTATGGGTTGGTACAATTACACCTACCTCACAGTACTCTCGTTAGCAGCTGAAAGCATATTCAAGTGGACTCCACACATCCTGTCAATTGGCTTATTCCAAATTAGCAGTTGTAGCTTGCTGTTTTCATACTAGGCGAGTTAAGTGGAAGTCTAGGGGTTAAGTGAAAAAAGGAATAGAAAGATGGGCCAAAAAGTTATATGAGACCATAAGAAGCGAACTTTAAGCTGTATTTAAACTAAGAGGGCGAGATACTTAAAGTACTCCAGAGGCTCAGGGTTTTGACGTTCACGTATAGGATAATGTACACTAACGCACGATCCAATACCCACAACTGCTATAGTATTCTTTCCACGTAGGTCCAAGACAAAACAATATACCACATTGTTCTTGCGAACTACGAAGTAAATTTTGGGACGAAATCGGAGTGCGAGGATGATTGCTTAACTAGTTAGAGACTGTGCACAAACAAAAGGACGAACCCAACGCGACCCATGCGAAATGGCGAGATGCTTGGCCGAGGGCTTAACAAGTCGACATACACAGTGAGGACCAGTATACGATATTCAACGATGAATGGAGTGACTAATAATTTCGGGGAATGACATAAAGCCATGGAACTATAATATGTTAGCTGTCAACAGTGACTGAAAGAATCTAGGTTCCCCTTCACTTTATTTATAACCAGAAATACTATAGTAATAGCTGTTTTCACCTGCTATGTTGCGGATCCTATCTATCTATCGTAAACGGAGACCAACCTGAATCCAAGTAGCAGTCGCTCCTCACTCCTTCAAACTGCTGAAGGGAATATACGGTGCCTATTCCTGCCCGAATTATGTTAAGGTTGGTAGAATTGTAAGAAGTTATAGGGATTAATAACTGCTGAACAGCAATATCACCAAATTACAGTTTCTTGAAAACATCAGTGGTACGCAAAAATGGTTCTCTCTAGGAACCTGTGATAAATCAGGATAAACAACCCAAAGCTTCTATGGTTCAGTAAACTTCAATCCTTTACAACATCATTAAAATCCCCCAGGACCAATCTGCCTTTAGTATGTGCTCAGAACTTTCGCTTTCATATGATCAACCAGCTTTCTTTTGGAGTTGCCAGCAGGCCACGTTGGTTGACACTAGATTCTATATGTGACAAACTCCAGGGTAAAATTATCGGACCACACCTCTGTAAGTAATATCTGGTGAGCCTATTTTTGCGGGATCCCGCTGGGAGGCGAAATGGTGCTATTTCAGTAGTATATCTATGCTAGGAGAGTTTGGATTGTTCATTATATTGCAGGTCTTTATTAACTTGTCACCTGCACTCACCGGGAGTATGAAGATATAGCTTTCGGAGTTTATTATCATACACTTGGGTTTTCACATGATTGTTATCCCTAGTTAAATATAAAACTGCAGATTTTCTAATATTCAAGTGAAAATCTGACATGAAATAACGAATTGTACGTCCTGTAAATTTTCAATAATGATGTCATCAGTTGTTTTCACTTTGTTTGAAGTGATTTCTAGTTGGCTTACTAGAATATCTGCGTTACATCACTACGTGTACATATCATGGGATTGACCATCTCGTCCGTCTTCCAAAGATTGTTTGGGAAGAAGTCCATGAGGATTTTGATGAGTAAGAAATAACTTTTACTTTCTGTGCGGTTAGTCAGTGCTTAAGCACTAATCGAAGTATTATTTAGCGTACTACTTAGTGCACTAACTTAACTGTGGTATACCAATAATTAATTCACTATGATTTCTACAGAAGCACTCTTCTAAGCAATTATCAGCTTGATGCATTCAAGGGAAAATTATGATTACAACTGTATTCATGCATAACCAATTGGTTTCATGGCCCTATTACTATCTTACATAAGTTGCCGCAAAAATATCACCGTTTTCGCCTTCGAGATCACTGATGTTATGTTATTATTTCATTATCAAAAGTACTGTCTTATGATGTGTCGTTGTACAAATTTATTCGTAGTTTGTTGATTTTTTTTAGCTCTATATGATAATATATTGGAACTAGCAAATTTTTTAAAAACGGTTCTGCACTGCAACTCAGCGTCATTCTTATTTTTACAGTGCTGACTCGTGTCAGTATTAAGTAGACAATCGACAAATAGCCTAGTATCTTCTCAGATACAGCTAGCTTCAAGAAAGTTTGACTTAGAACAGAGCTTATGAAATTCAATACTCCTTTGCAAGTGAACAGGTAGTGTGTTAAGTCCTTGCACGTTACATAATTCTCTACTTCATGGGTTGTGTTTTTTGGTTATTAATTAATTTTCTTGTAAATCACACTGCTAGACTGTAGTTGGGAAATAAATTATTGCAATCATAAGGTGATAGTTCGCATCTCTAGAATATTTTATTTGCCTTATATGTATTTAAGGGTTAGGCGTTTACGTCACCATAAAAGACGGTGTACATTTTTGACACATTAAAAGTTATTTTTTCCACATAATGCACTCTTGAGGTCATTATCAAAACTTAAAAGTGAGGATGTTGGAATTAAAGTGGGATAAAGTGGAATTTCATGTAGATTCTGTAGTTTCTGGGTCAGAGTTTTCGAGGTTACACAGTTTCAAGGTAGTAGTAATAGTCCCAACTGTTCTCTCAGCCTCGTATTTCTTTAAAATGAGTATATAAGCAGTGGCGTTATATGAATCTAGGCTGATTACGAATGGCGAATGACAGGATGATCCGTAAACGTAAGGTTAGATTTTCAAAGTGCGGACTGACTGTTAAAGTTAGTTAACACTCATCTACTGTGTACTGGACTATACTAGTTGTGAGGGCTGATGAAACTACCCAGTTGCCCAGACTGGAGTGGGTAGGAGGAGACTCGAACCAGGGACTCACTAGCTGGAAGCTGTCCTAAAATATCGAGGCATATATTCACAAGAACTGACACAGTAGTTCAGGTATAAGTAGCTAATGCGGTGTACGTCAGTCTTGTAAAGTTTAGTTATTCGGCTGTAGATGAATTTCAGACACGCTGTAAGTGTTCAAGACAAGGCAGGACCCGCTACAAGTACGTCAAACCTTGAGGGAATGGCGGAATAATTTAGCAATATTAGGTTCATTTGCTCGTTTAGTGAGCTTTAAATAGATGCTGACGTTGGTTGAAAGTCCGATTCTTTGGTTGTTATTAGATAAGTATACAAAAGTGTACTATATTCAAGTTGTAAAATGGTATGTGATGCTTATGCTCTGGAGCTCAACTGTTGGTAAATGCATGGTCGATTCACTTTTATAAATAAAATATAACCTACTTTGTCTGCGCATACTTCACTGTTGGTTTTAGGCTTTTATAAACTCAGGCAATCGGCAGTTGAGACGTTTAAGGAAAACTTCTACTTGTTATCACCCAGTCAAGATCTCACTCATTTCATTGATTTTCTGTCTGCTATTCTTATAGACTGGTATGGAAAACCCTTTCGTTTTAAATTTGAATTTGTTGTCTCAGTTGTTGAAGGACCGAAATATGGATAAAAACTGATTGAAGTCACTTTAAGGGATCTTTAATGTCTGAAAGTTGAAATAAGCATCAAAGGTCACTGGTGCTTGCTGGTAATTTTACTAGCCATTTTTTCTTGGATTGATCAGTATCTTTATCCCATCTACATAACTGCCAACCATTAGCTACATTTAATTGGTGTATGGTTACTAGCAGTGGAATCCAGGATGCGCGTTTCGTCCAGCTTGGGACTCGTCAGCCCGATGTACCTGCATTCCGCAGTGAGTGGCGATGTCCCCATCGAGGCTCGAATTCAGTGCTATGTTTCATGTTAGTAATGTGTATAAGTGTATTTCACATTTGTATACAATGTTTGCTTGCTTTTTTTGTCGTCAAAATTTTTTATACTTGCATAGTGTTCTTAAATAATGTTGAGGTACTCTACTCTATTTAACCATAATTATTTTTTTAATAGTTGGACTTGATGCGGCAGGAAAGACAACTATATTATACAAACTTAAGTTGGGAGAAGTAGTCACAACAATACCAACAATTGGATTCAATGTAGAAACTGTAGAGTATAAAAATATCAGTTTCACTGTATGGGATGTAGGTGGTCAAGACAAAATTCGACGCTTGTGGAGACATTATTTCCAGAATACACAAGTAAGTCTATTTTAAAATAAATTAATCTAATGTTTTTCAGGGCCTCATATTCGTGGTAGATAGCAATGATCGTGATCGTATTGGGGAATCTGCAGACGAGTTAAATAAAATGCTCTCCGAGGATGAATTACGTGATGTTGTAATATTAGTTTTTGCCAATAAACAAGATCTGCCTAATGCAATGTCAACTGCTGAAGTGGCAGAAAAATTGCGTTTACGAGAAATTCGCAATCGACCTGTAAGTGGTTTTATTGAATTTGTTGAATTTAAGTCTTTCATTTTTTATTTTCATCCCTAACTTAAATGTTACACCGTGGCATTAACTTATTTCTTCGACTAAGTATTTTAATGGGAGCCTAGTATGGACTATTTTAAGGTGCATATGTGGTTCATCGGCTCAGACACTCGACATTTAGCTAGTGAGCTTCAATCTGTGAAACTAGCTAGTAAATCATAACAAGTGATTCAGCGAAGAGACTCTTTTCAACGAATTTATCATCTAGCTGTCCAGTCGTATATATATGGTTTTTAAGAAGTTATATCCAGTGAGGGAATTGAATCATAGGTGTGAATGCATAAAATAATAATAATTGCAGTATGAAGTGCAATTAAAACTGAAATGTTTGTGGTTATAATCATAGTTAAATGTCAAGTGGCAAAGAAAATTAATGTCATATATAGAATAATTCATAGGATGGATAGAACTTGAAAAGGGTGTGCAATTGTAGGATTAGTAGACAAATCGAATAAAACAAAAAACGTTACGTAGTATTGTGTGAAATTTGATGGCATAGAATTTAACGTTGTAAAGAAAGAAGTGATTTAGAATGACAATTGGAACAAGTGAAATAATATCGGTGACAGTTCAAAGTGAGAATAGTAAAAGTAACAATTAATATAATAAAGAAAGAGCATACAAGTTGAGTTGATAAAACTAAAAAAATTGGTAGAGCCAAAATATGATTAGGGATTACCATACTTTAGCATAGAGGGATTAAGACCATGAACGTTGCAGGGGTTGAACGAAATTTTCTATACACAGAGATCTGGCTTTTCTGTTTCGATAGCGAAAGCTTCAGCAATACAGATGAGTCGGCTACGCAGGGATTTCCGCTAATCACTTTTCGCCTTGTAGATGACTTTAAAGGCGGAGGCTGTAGAGATAGGGTGATCATTATCGACCAGATGTTCAATGATCGCGCTTCTTATTGCTCCACTTCCACCTCTTCGTAACTGCCATGTAGGATAGTGTTCTTGCACCCTATTGGACAGTACTCCAGTCGAACAACCGATATACCTAGAGCTCCATACGAGCAGGTGAATTGATAAACACATAGAGTTGATCAACAGCGGGATTTTTTCCTTCAGGTCATTGAACAGTAATGGTCAACTAGTAAAGGCTATATTCTCAGAGATGCAGCAGGGAATGTTCTTTTCAGGGAAACTGTGATATCCTTCGTTTCATAATATCAGAAGCTAAGTCCCCTTTGAATTCCAAGCTCATGTAAAGCATTTATTTTTGGGTACGGATGATTATAATCACAAACATTTTAGTTTTAATTGCATTTCATACTACTATTATTATTATTTTATGCATTCACACCTATGATTCAATTCCTTTACTGGATATAACTTCTTAAAGAGGCCATATTCATACGATTGTACCGTTTGACGATAAATTCATCGTTGAAAAGAGTCTCTTCGCTGAACCACCACTTGTTTTTTTTCTATATGTAACAATGGGAATTTTCCGTGAGTGGCGAAATTATGCTCCCATCCATCCCAAGCAAAATACTAAGCCGCATCATCCTGCAGAGAATGAAACACGCCAGCCTGGATGAAAAACTTCGACCGGAACAAGCTGGGTTCAGGAGAAACAAGTCATGTATTGATCAAATCGCCACTCTACGGATCATCATTGAACAAAGCTTGGAATGGCAGTCACCTCTCCACCTCACTCAACTTCATTGACTTTGAAAAAGCCTTCGATAGTGCAGCGTCGATCGAGAGGTGATTTGTCAACTATTTCCCTACTACGTGGTCCCATCGAATATTATACATCTCAACCAACAGTTATACGACAATGCTGCATGCCAAGTAATCCACAACGAGAAACTTACGGAAGCCTTCGAAGTGAGGACGGGAGTGAGACAAGACTGCCTACTATCACCAATGATTTTCCTGATTGCGGTAGACTGGATAATGCGACAGACAACAGGCATAAAATGGACTCACACAAAAAACTTGGAGGATCTGGACTTCGCCGATGATATATGTCTGATTTCCCACAAACTGGAAAATATGCAAGTGAAAAGCAATAAGTTTACAAAAGAAGAAGCATCAAAGATAGGACTTCAGGTGAACATAGAGAAAACAGAGGTGATGAAGATTCTTGGCCAACAGCAACAACAACAGACAACAATCAGCCAGTATAAATGGGAGGAACCTGAAAGAAACAACCTCCTTTACCTTCCTATCTGGGAAGCATCGTTTCAACTCTAGGCGGACGGAACTGACGAGGATACCAAAGCCAGAATCGGAAAAGCAAGACAAGCTTTCATTACTCTTAAATCTGTGTGGAGGAGGTCAACAGCACTCAGCATAAATCAAATCAAATTTATCCTGCCTGTGGCTGGCCGAGTAATAGGCAGCCCTTATGCGTCGGTGGCGTAGTGGTTAGGACTCTCGCCGACCATGCACATGGTCCGGGGTTCGAGCCCTCGCCGACGCACACCTGATATTTATGGTCGGCCTGCAAAATTTGGGCTACCGATATCCATGCTGAAAATTCCATACTTGTACCAAAAATACAGTGTAGAATCAAGCTGTAATAAAAATAAAAAATAAAAAAATAAAAAATAAAAATAAGATCCGGATTTTCAACTCCAATCGGAAGTCACTGCTACTGTACGGATAGGAGACTTGCACTGCGTGTCATAAAGAGCATCTCAAACAAACTTCAGACCTTCATTAACAGTTGTCTTCGCTCAATACTCAAGATCACATGACTGGCCAGAAAAGATCAGCAACAGGGATCTCTGGGAGCGAACCAACTAGGAACCCATCGTGCAACAAATAGGCAGGAAGAAATGAAGGTAGATGGATTGGAGGCCATACTCTGAGGAAGCAAACCATCAAGTGACATCACTAGGCAGGTCTTGGAGTGGAACCCGAACGGGAAGCGGCGAGTCAGTTGGTCGTCATTGCTAGGGTGACATGGAGTAGGTCATGTGAAGAGGAGATGAAAGCATGTGACAGACTTGGAGCGGGGTGAAAAAGTTGGCAGAAGGCAGTGGAGATGCGCAGCTGAAGCCCTATTTTGCTCTAGAAATTAAAGGATATATTAATAATAACAATGGGAATTTTCCGTGAGTTAAAAACTAGGTAGTATCATCAATCCTTACACAATAAGTATGACTCATGCCGTGATACATGAAAAATCTGTTCCGGGTAAAAGTTCTAACCAACTAAGTGTATGTTAAAACACTTAAAAAAATACATCATGTATGAGTCCAAAAACCTCTAATATATTTACGTATTTCAGTATATCAGTTGTACTTCGCAGTTTTATTAAATGTTCTGTTTTGTGATAAATTTCTCCACAAGCCAGTACTATCCAGAATGCCATTGAAAGTTAAGAACCATTTGGTGTTATGTTGGGACATTTTACATAGGCGAACAAACATTCTTGACATCAAACTTAACATTATTGCATGATGATATAAGTTGTATGTGTTATTCAACAAACACTTACAATTTCATGCAGTTGGTAATGAGCCATGCCTGTTGTGTGAGCATTGGTTAAACTGCCCGGTGCTGCGCAAACTGTGGTGTGTAGAGAGGGGTCGGAAGTCGAGTGCCTAGACCAACGAACCATAGCTCTGCACTGTTGCCTGGCTCTATGTAAGCTAACATTGACCGTCAGTCGAGGAAGGTGATCGACGGCTAGGGATTCATGCGTAACACATGTCCTGACCATCTCAATCGATGTAACTTAGCCTCTTGGACTGATTTCCCCTCTTCACCTAGTACCCGACCGAAGCCTCACCTCAGTATTGCTCACCCTATTATACCATTTAGCACGGGGGATAGAACGAGACTCGAATCGTAGAATCTTTGTGACTGGATGTCACAGCTAAACCACTTAGTTATTGAACTCGCGCTAAATTTCTGCATGACATTACGCATATAAATTACTGCATAGTACGTCAAAGCATGATATTTAAAGGTAGTGTAGTGTTGGCTTACGATAAACGTCGCTGCATTCTTCAGGAATGCAGAAGGCAAAAAACGAAAGATTGTTCAGTGGTTATTTTCAATGTTTGTACTGTAATCGAAGTAAAAAGAATAACAGTCACCCAGTCATAGAATTCCATCGAGTAAGACTTTATTTTTTCTCTAGCTTATATACTGCTACCTGGCTCATTATGTGGATAAGTTACCTATTATTCCCTTACAGTATTTTGTAGGTACAGCAAGTTGAGTCGTCATTAATAAAAAGCTTCTGGTGATTTATGTGGAAAGCCGTGTGAGGCAGTAAATAATCGAAGAAGACATTGCGGAGTGGTCGCGCTATGTCATGGATTGGTAGAAGTTAGAATTCATGGGCTGGCTGGCCATTGGATCGGGTCCCAGTGGCTTAATAGTCTACGAGCTCGCTAGCCTTCTAACCAAGAAGGTCGTGGGTTCGAACCACCCTCTGTGTTGTGTGCGTATTGATGAAGAGTCCCAAACTAGGCCGACGAAACAGCTGTCCAGTACTCTCTCTAGTGGTTTTCCAATGGTTTAGTCCTCTAACTGATATCAGCTCATGATGAAATCATTTAACCAGTCAAATTAATAATGTTTAGTGTTGACATAATTCAAGAAGCTAAAGTGCTGTGTTTCGGTTGGGAATATTATTGAGTCGACTGATTCACTAACTGAAGTTAAACGTAGAACGTGGCACAGAAATGCGACAGTCCAAGTTGCCACATTCAATGTAGTACACAAACGTTGAAAAAGGGGTTCAAAAGTATTATAATGAGTAGAAAAGATAGGGAAAAAGAGCAGTAACATGGAAAAACATTACTATTTAATAGATCTGAGCGATTACATAAAGAGTGAATATATTTGTACCACTGAAGAGGATTTTGCATGATATCTCTGATAGTCTCCAGGCATTGATTCTTAGTATCCTCAAGACCCCCCAACCAGGCAACCTACGCCCCCATATGTGGCTAGCTCAAACCAATTGTCAAAATCTTCATGGACTGGTGATGTAGCATGCGCAGCAGATATCCTTCACAACCCGATCGGTTGACTTACCCTCCTTACCCAACACTACGCCTAAATCCAGTGCAATTTAACACGAGATGCGTCTTTCAACTTTCAATGGCCACATCTCACAGTCATAAAGGAGGACAGAGCAAAGTGTTGCACAGTTAACACGTCCTTTGATCGACAGTCGGATATCATGTGTACGCCATGGTTAACGTAAGTTGACAAGTGTCTGTATCTGTGCTGACATTTTGTCAGCACTTAGTGCATTGGAATTAATGCGATTTGACAGTAGTAAATCACACATGTCAAATATTCAAAGATTTCTGCCCAAGATTTTCAAGAGACTGTGCATTTTATCACCGTCTTCATCCGTTTACTATAAGTATGCGAAAGTATATTTGTTTTCATTTTACAAAACATTCCTAGTGGAACATAAGGCTTCAGGCTGAAGCGTTAATGTTCCGGTAGCAGTGGTGTCATTTTTACCGGGTGAGATCGCTAGCCTCAAGCTCAAACTTCCCTCTTTACCGGCCTTACCACCGAGATAACCAGGTATATGAGTACATCGGTCTGGGATCGAACTCTGGATCATGTGAAGTGATGTGGTTGGCCAGCGGTCTACTTCTGAACTGCCTGTAATCTGTGCGTAATTATTGAGACCATCAGTAATGATTATTATTATTCTTTCCTTTAATTCCTAGAGGAACATAGGCCTTCAACCGCTCACATCTGCATTGCGTTCGATTCTCTGCTAACGTTTTCATCCCTATCCAAGTCTGCCCACACGCTTTCACCTCCTCCAAGTCACCCTTGGACGACCGACTTGTCGCTTCCCATTCGGGTTCCACTCGAGGAATGGCTTGTCTAGTAGTGCCACTTGATGGTTTGCTTCCTTAGAGTATGACCAATCCACCTCCATTTCTTCCTGCTTATTTGTTGCACAATCGGTTCCTGCTGGGTCGGTCCTTTCATTGCCAGAGATCCCTCCCTGTTGCTGATCTTTTCCGGTCGGCCATCTGATCTTGAGTAGTATTGAGCGAACACAGCTGTTGATGAAGGTCTGTAGTTTGTCCGAAGTGGCCGTCTTGACACGGCGCCAAGTTTCTGATTCGCATAGTAAGTAGCGCTGACTTCACATTGGAGTTGAAAATCCGGATATTAATTCCATTTTCATGCTGAGTAGTGCTGTTGACCTCCACACAGACTTGACAGAAATGAAAGCTTTTCTTACTTTCGTGATCCTCTCTGCCTTGATATCCTCGTCAGTTCCATCCGCCTAGAGTTGAAACGATACTTCCCAGTTTGGTCGGTAGGTAGGTAGGTAGGTAAAGGAGGTTGTTGTTTCTTTAAGATTCCTCCTATTACTGTCAGTAATGATATAAAATTATCTTTTATTTATTTCTTCTTATACTAAATCTAGTGGCATATACAATGTGCTTGTGCTACACAAGGTCAAGGATTATTCGAAGGTTTGGATTGGCTATCGAATGAATTATCCAAACGATCCTAGAATATGAGAAGAACTCTTTCATCACCATCAATCACTCCTCTTTTTTTTTTAAAGAAACCGCTACAGTTACTTAATTTACACACAAGTATACATACAAACGTGCATATGTACAATGGATGGCCAATATTCTGTAAAAAAATAGACAAAACCAAGAAGAACAATCGATATATACTTTCCCCCCCCCTGTTCACCTTCTGGATTTCTAGGCGAGACAAAGAAAATTCTCTCTTTTTTTTCTTTCTTTTGTTTTATTTCCCAGTCGTGTATTGGCTGTTGTTAATGAGTCAATAAGTTAGTTATAATATAAATAGTAATTTATGTATGCCTTGCGTGCATGCGTGCGTGCGCGTGAGTGTGTGTGTATGTGTGATGAAGAAGAAGAGGAGAGTGTCTACGATATTCCATTGCATAAAACCATACATACAATATACCACTTTATTCCGAGTGCTTCATTACTACATATATATGTGTATATGTATATGTAAACTGCTTAATTGGTTGTTGTGAAGGTTTGTTATTCTTCTTATTCTTATTATTTTTTTGTTGACACACTGATGACGATGATTACTATTACTATTATTGCCCATATCAATTTTTGTTTTTCGTTTTTTTTTTCTATAATATTACATGCGTATAATGTATTTTGTTGAGATACTTGAGATACCTTGTTCTGTGTGAGATTGGATGATGTCTGTCTGTCTGTTTTCGACATAGAACTTTGCATCGATATGCAACAGTTCAAGCCGCCATACTTCCTCCTTCATGTAGCACACGAAACAAGAGAAGAAAGTAAAAAGAAACTCAAAGTAGGGACAGTAATCAGAGATATGAGGCATAAAGAATAGTAATATCGAAGTACAACATAGTTTCATTGGGAATTATAAGTCACAAGGAGTGGATGCATCTGCGACAGCCATTGAGAACGATCACTTTGAGCTATATGACCGATTGTTTAATGTTTCGAGGACCCATCAACTAGTCAGAAAGTCTACACCTCCTTCCCTACGTGACTCACTGACTTAAACTAACTGTTGTGGATTTCATTGACTAATGAAGCGATGTTTTGTTTTGACCACCACTGGCCCTTTTCTATTCTGACCCTGTGTCAGCTAACATCGCCTGTCAGTCGAGGAAGGCGATGGCTAGGGATGCATGCGTAACACATGTCCTAACCATCTCAGTCGATGTAACTGCACAGCCTTGTCGATTGATTTCCCGTCCTTATCCACCTAGCATTCGACCGATGACTGACCTCAATATTTCTCACCCTATTATACCACTTAACACAAGATGTATGTAGAAGGCATACACCTATGATCAAAGACAGCTAGCTGGCGTTTTCATGTCTTTTACTGTCAATGGCTAGATGTCGTTTACAGCCATAAAGAAGGACGGAGCTGTTTTCTGTGAAGTACACCCGGCCTTTGGTCGATAGCCGGATATCGGATAGCCGCATAATATATATATATCTTGCGCATTGGCTTTAAGCACTTTAACCAGTCGACTTTTAGTCAATCTGTCTGTTTAAGGTTTGAGTCCTATCTCAATATACTTCAGCCTGAGCAACTGGAGAGAGTATCATGAGCTATCGCATAATAAGTAACAGGAAGGATATTTTGTCCTTTTGTAACTTTTCGTGATTCACTGTCGTCTACAAGCATTCACTTGTTTGTTGGTGTGTGTGGTTCAGTTTGCTGCGAAGGAAAAACTCATCAACAATTCATCTCGGATTTTCGACTAAAACAAATAATATAGGCGATTGCGTTGGCAGACTGTTTTCAAGAAACTTCATCTTAAGCCTTTGCTGTTATATAAATGCATGAATTCATACAATACCCCTTGAAGGTGAGGAAAAAAATTGTGTCGAAAAGTGTGTTAGAATAGATACGGTTGGTTGTTCGAATTCCCGTCGGGATTTTAATATATATTCCGAATATACAGTGGGTAGATTATATGAAACAGAATGATTGAGTGAAGTGTTTCCTAGTTTTTCAAATCTATTGGGCTTGCATATTACCACAATGACCTACACTCGATGGGACTGCGTCGGTGGCGCAGAGGTCCGGACGCTCGCTGACCATGCACATTGTCCGCGGTTCGATCCCCGGCCGACGCACACCTGATTGATATCAATTTGTCTACCGATATCACATGCTAAAAATTTCATACTTGTACCAAAATACTGTGTGGAATCAAGCTATAATAAAATAAAATAGTTATAGTGTTTCTTCAGGTCGTACTATCATGCTCGAAAGGTTGCACTACGTTAATGGGTCTCCGGATGAAGCTGTACTTCATAGCGAATAAGGATTTAACAACAGTGAGGTGTGTTCCCCTCAGATAATCAGCTATGCTACTTCTTTGTTCTGTAGAGGTGGGCTAGAAAAGGTTGACCCTGGAAATTGTACATCCCAACTTACCTTAAGACTGTCTGTAACTGGCATTTCTTCGGAACTTAAGGATTTAACTAGATTGACCCCATGAAGATGCATAGTTTAAGGAAGCATTCAGCAATTGCAACGCATGACATGACAGTGTGGGGGTAGAGCCACGTTTCTAAAATGGAATGAGGGTAGGTCGAGGAAGGGTTGATCACTTAGTCTTTGTTCATCGAATCTTCACTTAAAATGAGCAAAATAATTAACGCAATGCCAATATACTAGAAATATGGAAAATGTTACTGTGGTGAGAGCTATCTGCTAGCCAAAATTGGTAGACAGCAGTTTACATGGCCTGTTGAGAAAACAAGAACAAAGACTTACTCAAAAAAACCAATCACAGCGAACTTTGCATGGGCGGATACCATTCGCAGATATATGGTCTGACCTTCAAAAAGATGACAGAATAACCCTCAGCAGGAAAAAACAACCAATTAGAAGTCGTTACTCCTCTGCTAACGATAACGAATAATAATGCACATAAATATCTGTTGATTTTCTCAATAAACGATCTGCTGGCTGGTCCTTGTCTTCTGTTGTTACATTACTACCAATAAAATTAAAGCATAAAAAATAATGGGACTGTATAAACTAAGTTTTAAAGTTATGTGAGTGCCTCGATGAAATTATGAGTAATAAATTGTGCTCGAAATATCATCAGTAAATAATACTGTACAATTGTGTGTGTGTGTGTTTTTATCAGATAAAACTATTCTACCGGGGAATTCACCAGTACATAATAATAATAATAATTTGCTTTATTCTAAAACAGTACTTGCGATACAGAATGGAATTCTCAACATTTTACTACAGTATTGCATCCAGTTTGTACATTAACAATAAAATAAAATTCTACGTAGATTAAGGGTAATCTCAGTTAGTTTTGACAACAACATATTAGCATGTCGGTAGCAAAGCCAAAATTAAACAAAGTGTTTGAAGGTGCTAGAAAAGTAGGTTCTAGCATATTTACTGGCGTATGCAGAAGAAAGAAACAAAGCTGCACATAACAGAGAAAAAAGGGAGAGAGAGAAAAGGAAAAGAAAGAAAGAAAACGTTGTACCTATAAATGATATGAGTTGGAAAGACGAGATCCAGTTGTTCTACTGACTATTTAATAAGTTATAGGTATCATGCCTAATGCTTTCTTTATCGTACAGAACACGAGCCAAGTAGGGTATGGTTGAGTTTTTGTACTTGCTAGTGCGAGCATATAGTTTTCTGTATAGGCTTCTGGTTTTGCCTGAAGAGATACAAGGGGAGAGTTGTGAATGAAGATGGTGGTGTTGTGAGTTAGATAAAATGGATTTATCCATTTTTCACATGAGTTCAAGTGCCTGTCAACCAGAATATTAATCAGCTGGTTAAGGGCACGTGCTGACAACCTTTAACATCCTGCATAATAAGGTATAGTCTTTCTTCAGTAGCTCTGGAAAAAATATAGAATAATAGGCAGAATGCAAGAGTTAACGAACTGTAGGAGTAAGGATTGGGTTATACATAATGTCTCAACTTCTTGATGTAGAAGGTAACACGGAATATTTTCTTAGAAATCATCAAGATATGAGACGACATACTTTTTATTGTCCTACGGTAAAATTGTTTTCGGCGATTTTATTTTCAAAAGCTGTACAATCCCATTTTAAATACATAATTTTACATGGATACATAATTATGACGGTGAATAAAAGGTGACAACTATATTCAGGTAGATATGGTTTACGAGAGGCTTAGAAACAAAATTAACACAGGACTAGAACGGTTAACAAGTGTGTAAAAAACGAGCATGGGAACAAAATTGAAACAATAATTTTCAACTTGAGATAGGAGTTAGGAGGTGTGAATATAGATAACAAGAGCCTTAGAAACACGAAAATTTCACAGGATTACGATATAATTGTAAAATAGTTATAAATTTGAGCAGGAAAAGCATGGAAACGAGCTTAAAATAACTGTTTTTGTAACTGAAAAAATGGGGTGAATCGAATGAAGACAGAGGGAATAAGAACGACATACACAACGGATGAAAAAAGATTAAAAAAGAAGAAAAGAGAAACGGAAGCTAAGGGAACATACCGAACTAGGTCCATGGTAGTTGTAGACGTTGGACTAATTTCTTTTAGAACACACAGCTCCGACTTCTCGATGCATATTACGAGGGCTTCTGCAGTACTGAGAAGTCAGAAAAATACTGCTTTTGGTAGGTTTCTGTTGACTTTGTAAATTACTTTGACAGGATCAATTGAGATGTTGTGGGAGGTGTTCAATAATGGCACTTCTGATTGAACTGGTGCCTCCTCATTGCAGCTACGCTAGTTAATGTTCTATAACACGTTTCAAAAGGACGCACATACAACGACCTATGTACCTAGCTCCGCACGTTTGCGTTGTTTCTAAGTATTTGATGGCTAGAGAATGTCACTCTTAGTGTTGCTGTAGGGAAGGTCTTCTTTAAAGAGCTGGATATTCTCCTATTTAGGATATCGGCTGCCAAATCTCCCTAGAAATTCAGATTCAGATATAGCGTTTTCTTTGGCGCTCAATCGCAATCTTCTCTTTTTT